CTCCGGCTCACAGTCCCGCTGCGCCAGGGCCTGCAGGCACTGACGCCGACTCCAAACTCAAGTCTGACACCCTCCCCGCCCCCACTCCAGGGAGGAGACTCCAGCCCCTAGCACGCAGGGAAGAGCCTAGCACGCGGGGAAGCTCGCCTGGATCGCCGAGTTCCCAGCCCCCACCACGTCCCTTAGATTGGTGCAGCGGCCGCTGCAGGCTGCTAAGAAAATAGGGAGAGATCAGAAGCAAAAAGGCCGCCGGTGGGAAGCGTCGCCGGGAAGGGGTGCAGTTTTGCACAAGTACATAAAACAAGGCTGACGCCTTGCAGTCTCCCCGGGCTGCTGGGAAGGCAAAAGGGAGGCTTTGGTCTCCACACTCTAATTTTAGAGACCAGTCCGGAACTTGATGTCTCCTCAGTTTCTCTGGAGTCCGGGGATGAGAAGTTTTCCAGTACTCGGTCCCAGAAATCTGCGGCCAGCCGGACACCCCTAGGTGGCCCAGAGCCCTAGGAAAGATCCGGCGTCGAGGCGGAGAGGTCACCTTCCCCTCTTTTAGCCCCGCCTCTCGCCCACCGCCGCTGGTAGAGGACGACTGCAGGTTGGAGGTAAAGAGGTAACTCGTTAATAAAGCTGGTCCTGGGCAAAACAGCAAACTGTATCGACCTTAGCTTGGGCGGTGGCCAAAGCCCGGCGCCCTGGCAGTGGCCCTGGGGCGCTTTCCACAGAGATCCCTGCGCCTGGACTTTGCCTGCTGGGGGAGCTTTTTTGAGCTGCCTCCCGGCGCCCAGCGGAGGTACAGCAGAGGCACCCCTCCCCCGTCCTGGCACGTGACTGCTACCGGCCAGTCAGCGCCCGCTAGCCCAGCGCAGGGGCAAGCGGAACGGCGCTGGGAGCTGAGCTAATAGCTGCCGGAGGCACAGTGGCCGCCAGAGGCTCCGCCGCCGCTGCAGCTCCGGGGGCGCCCGGGGAGCGCGAGCCCGCTCTTCAGGAAGCTCGAGGCTCGGCAGGTAGGGTTTTTCTCCCTCCTCTTTGCTGGTCCCCGTCCTTCGCGGAACTCGGAGCTCCTCCGTCCTGGTTTGCCTGGGAACAGAGAGGTCTCCAGGAGGTGGAAAGGAGTCATGGGTCACTCCCTCTCCCAAAGTGCTCAAAGCTTTCTCTGCTTTTGACTTTGGCATGGCAACTCTTTATCAAAGTAAGACCGGGGGCCAAGCGGAAAGAGAGGTTGAAAGGCGTTGGGATTCTTTTTGTGTGAACTTGAACACTTAATCCGCCCCTGCGTGCACTCTCTCCAATCCTCTCTGGCATCTCACAGACCGGGCCTGGGTGGTGATGGTGGCCGTAGAAAATAACCCTGACCGACCGATTAGGGACAGGCCTCACAGCAGCTCGCACACGGAGGGTGTAGACCCAGGGGTGTCGTCCGCCGGCGACAACGGGACTCGGCGTAGTAGTGAGAGGCAGCGCAGCGGGGGCCGGGGGGGCGCTGGAGGCACTCAGAGGTCCGGCCGGACTTTTATGCCCTTTAAGGCCAGCTTCCTCCCCTTCTTTACGGGGGTCCGGGGAGCCAAATGCCCCGCAGAAAGCCAACAACCCACCCACCCTACTGCTTCTGGGTGGAACGCGTGGAGAGCCGGAACCCGGGCAGTGACGTTCCTCCGCCTGCCACCGCAGGCTCCCCGGATCCACCTTAGGTCGGTCGGCTTTGGCCTGAGAGTGGGGGGCGGTTACCCTTGGGAGAGGGACTCCGGGGTAGTGAACAGCCACCAGTTTGAGGGGAAGAGAGGCCTTTCATTGAGGGGAAGAGGATGGCGGGGGAGTCGTGGCGGATGGCAGTCCCGGAGCTGCTTGGCCCGCGCTGTTGGGCAGGTTGGGGAAGACCTCAGGGAAGCATTTCCTGTGCTTCTCGGAGAGGGAAGGCAGACAGAGTAGGTTTCCAGAGTCTAAAGAAAGAAAAGCTTCAATGGGTTGCCGGGGTAATGCCCCCCATACTTCTGAGTCTCCTTATCCCGGATTTCGGCAGGTTTGGTTACTGCTGGCCAGTGAGGACGCTCCTGGGTGACAGTTTTCTGCGCGGTAGGCCGAGAGCGGGCGCGAGCTCAGTCCTGTAAAAGGTCGCGAGCATTCAGGCGCTTGCAATTTTCTCACTTTGAAAAGATAGTTCAGAAAAGGGCCGTCGGTTAAATCATGAAAGGAAGAAGTATTTCCTTTGGGCCTGAGAACTTGAGGTGAATTGGGATGAGTGATCAGGAGGGGGAAAACTGGGGCACGGGCCACACTCTTTTGCCAGTCTCAGGAGCTCGCTGGGCTTGTCTGCGGTAGGCAGGACCAAGGCTCAATTACAGAAACAAGCAAGCCTCTTAAGGGTATAGTTTCTTAACTTTCCAGAATGATATAGAGGGGTAATTTCTCCATCTTCTGTGGTTCCAGTTATCCAACTTCGAGGTAATATATCAGCCACTTGGAAAGGCAGAGAACGTACTAAAAAGACAAATGTTAGATTTGTAACATTTCTAGCATTTATATTTTAAAGTTTTAAATTTCGCACCTATATACTGCAAGTTGGATTGCAAAATTCTGAATTTCCTTCCTTTTTTGCAGCTTTATGAGAAAAGAAAATTTACAACGTTACATTTTAGAATTACAAGACTTGAGTTTTACAGAAAATGCAACTAAATAGGTCAGCTATTTGATATAAAAGTTAAATATTGGATATTTTATTAAGGGAAACCTATTTATTTACTTATTGAAGCCCAGAGACTACTAGGAGGTATTAATTTTTTGCTTTTGTTTTCAAAAATAAATGTTGGTGACCTCAGTTCAATTTTTTTGTATCCATCTTCTAACTAAACTTGATGGAAGGAAATGTGCACCAAACCAATAGTTTATTGTGTATTTTGAAAGCAAATAAAAAAGCCATTTAGCAGTTACCATGTGTCTAAGTAATTCAGTGCCATTAATTTTATTATTGTTACTAGTGATGTTGAAAAAATGGTAGAAAGTATTATATAATTAAGTGTAGTAAAAATTCCACTTTTAGAATTTTTACAATAATAAAGGTAATCATTTATTGTGGCATATATTATGTCTCAGGTGCTTTTTATAGTATATTAAAAATCTGTAATAATAGCCAACAGTTATATAGAACTTTCTGTGTGCCTGTTGTAAGACCTTATTATAAATACTTTATGTGTATTCATTTATAATTCATGCTCTTAATTCTCACATTGGCTGTAGGAGACAGAAGCCTTTAATATTTGTACTTTGTAGGTGAGGAACTGAGGCACAGAGAAGTTAAGTGATTCATCTAAAAGTTATTAATTTACTAAGTGACAGAGCCTAGATTTAATACATGGTTCAGTTAATATCCTTGTAAGTCTGCTGTTGCAATAAAAAGAAACTACTGTGAGAAGCAGCTGTCTTTTCTGGAGGAGAGAAATGTGGGTGTCTTGGACGGGTTCAAGCTCTTGGAGCCTTATGGACACCCCCCCATGCCCTCTAATTGTACTTTGATCTTAGATGAGTTTCAAAATTTTTCAATGCTTCCTTTCCCTCTTTTGTAAAATGAGGGAAGACCCCTTGACTTAGGGTGCAGGATCTGGGAAAAGGACCTGGGGCACAACAGGTGCTTCAGAAAGTGGAGTTCTATGTTTTTAGGAAGAAGAAAAAACAAAAATCTCTGGCATTATGAACACAGGATGCTAGGAAGCATACAGTCAAACTCTATGAACTGTGCTTTTACCAAGCAGTCTCACTGGTGTGCTGATTCTGCATATGGGTGGACCTGTGATTCCACAGGGAAAAAAAAAAAACAAACAAAAACTGTCCAGTGAATTAGAATGGTTCACTGAGTTGTTCTGTAAAGTGATCTTGTACATTTCTTCTACTCTTTTGGTCCCCATATGCAATCTGTAAAATGTCTAAAATATAACTGTTTGCTGTAAACACGTAGCTAGTCTGATTTGACATCCACACGGTATAGTGTATGGATAAGGGGTTTCATGATCCTTTTTAGAGATTTTGCAGACACAGTTGCTCATTTATAAACATTGAGACTCTACCTCTAGCCTTTTTGTTTTTAAGATTGCAAACAAAACTTTCTTAGGTTACTGGTTTTTATAAAGATTGTCATTGTTTCCCCTCTGACAATCTAAAAGTTCTTGGCCAGGTTTGCTCAAGGAGAAATGGGGGGGGAGGGGAGGGAGAGTTCTTGGGTCCCAGGCATCCCCCTAATCTGAAACTCTCGAATTCATAAAATATTGTAGCAAAAATATGCTTTGAAGAATAAGGTAAAATTAAAGTCCTTCCTAATAAGCGATCAAAAATAAACGACCTAGATCACAATCAAACTGGTCTAGATCCTACATGTCCAAGACCCCACTTCCACAGGGCACCCTACCAGAGGCTTGCGATACCCCACCGCCGGGGCAAAACAAAGGCAGCGGCTGTCCTCGGAACCGCGCGGCCTAGGAAGCCGAGCCTGAGTCGGGCATTTAGTTTGCAGGGCAGGAGAACCAACCAAGCTTGGGGACGGTGACCTCTGAAAGCTCTGGATGAACCTCTTTTTCTCATTTTGTCGTTCTTCCTTTAGGACCCTGGCTGCAGCAAGGCGAAGGAGTCCTCTAGGCCTTCGGAATTGGAGGCTTCCGCCTGGCGCTGCGGGTGCTCTGGAGGCAGTGCACAGCGACCCGCGCAGGACCAAGACCTCTGGACGTGGCAAGTGGGTTACCCGAAGGCGGGTGCCCCCACACCAGCGCCCAGGCACCACCTTGCGTTTTGTGCCGCCCTGAGCGCTCCAGACCTCCAGGCCCTGGGCGGAGAGGCCCCTCCTGCACCACCTTCCGGAACCACCAAAACTGCAATTTCGATTTTCCTGAGTAAACAGGAGCCCAGAGCCTTTGCTCGATGCTGGATTTAATATGCAGACCTCTTTGAGGGCCTTGGTCTTTTTCCCTTTGGTTTTTAATCATTTTTGTGACAGTCCCTCACACGTACATTACTAGTCTCGTGGTCTTCTCTCCCCGCGCGGCTCTTTGACCAGCGAGGAGGGCGACGCGAAGAGCTCCCGGGGGCGATGTACCAGAGCCTGGCCATGGCCGCCAACCACGGGCCGCCGCCGGGGGCCTACGAGGCGGGCGGCCCCGGCGCCTTCATGCACGGCGCGGGCGCTGCGTCCTCGCCGGTCTACGTGCCCACGCCGCGGGTGCCTTCCTCGGTGCTGGGCCTGTCCTACCTCCAGGGTGGTGGCGGGGGTGCTGCCACCGGAGCCGCCTCGGGCGGCAGCTCGGGCGCGGCCCCGTCGGGTGCCGCTCCCGGGACACAGCAGGGCAGCCCAGGCTGGAGCCAGGCGGGAGCCGAGGGAGCCGCCTACACCCCGCCACCGGTGTCCCCGCGCTTCTCCTTCCCGGGGACCACAGGGTCCCTGGCGGCCGCCGCCGCCGCCGCCGCCCGGGAAGCCGCGGCCTACGGCAGTGGCGGCGGGGCGGCGGGCGCGGGCCTGGCCGGCCGCGAGCAGTACGGGCGCGCGGGCTTCGCGGGCTCCTACTCCAGCCCCTACCCGGCCTACATGGCCGACGTGGGCGCGTCCTGGGCCGCGGCCGCCGCCGCCTCCGCCGGCCCCTTCGACAGTCCGGTCCTGCACAGCCTGCCCGGGCGGGCCAACCCCGCCGCCCGACACCCCAATCTCGGTGAGTACTGCGGGAGGACCCCGAAAGGGGGCCGGCATCAGGCTGGCTGTCTCCAACCCTCCTGGGGCTGGAGATTTAAAGTGTTGGGTGGGGGAGGGTGCTTGATGCCATCGAGTTTCCAACGTAAGCAAACTGGAAGACATGCTGGTGGCGATGGGCTGTAGGGCGGTAACCAAAAAAAAAAAAAAAAAAGATGAAGCGGAGACAAGCCCAGACCCAGAGTCCGTCCGGCTCCCAGCCCGGGGAGCCTGGGAGGACGGCGCTGGCGACCCCGCGGGGTTTCTGCTCCGGTTTCCTCCCCACCCTCCTCAGCCGCCTCAGTGGAGCCCTGATTACACTGGCTTGGACCTGAGATCCAGGCCATTTGGCAGCCCAGTTGGAGGATCCCTCCAGGTGGCAGATGATTTTCCCGTGTGTGGAGGGGTGGGTTTCACGCCGGAAACAGGAGGGACCAGCAAAGGAGACCGCCTGGGGGTGGATTGAACTGGGGTCTGCGCTGGGTGGGTCTTCTGGGCGCTGTGTGGTCCCGTAGTCCCAGGTCCACAGGGCTGGGATGGGGCCAGACACCTCCGGTTCTTTATATTTTCCGGGTTAAATAGAGACTTTGCAGCTGCTTCCACACCTTGAACCTCCTCTTTCCCCTTTTAGGCAGGGCTTAGAAATCATGATGGACGCAATTCAGACCTGGGAGGGACTGCAATCAGCCCCACTTCCCGGATTTGTAGATGAATGAATTGATCTCTCGGCCTGGCACTTCGGCTGAGAGAGACAGGGAAGTGGCAACCACTAATTCAAAATGCAAACGACCTCTGGTCTGAGGAATTTCAAGGAGGACTGGAGGATCGGGTTTGAATTGAGTTGGCTCTTTGGAGGGAGGGGAAGCCCAGAGAGAAACAAAGTTAACATTTATTGACTACCTACTAAGTGCTAAACCCTTTGCTTTTGTTCTGGCTTTGAAGAGTAAAGTCTGCCTCTCCCTGTTTCCAGTATTGAACTGGCTCCTGTAGGGACACTGGCTTTGAAGACCTTTTAAATTATTCTCTGGCCCTGGGTGGCTGGGGTAGCTCTCCGGGAGTGGGGGTAGGCATCCAAATACACATCCCAGGTAAACTGATTAACCAAGGACGTGGCGCCGGGGCTGGGGGTTGGGACTACGGCTCCCTGCGTCCCCCTTCCCCACACTGGGAAACCAGATGGCACCCCTGGGGGGGAGGAGGGGCCCGCACCAATCTCTGCGGGTGGACCTTTGAGATAGTGTGTGGCAGAGTCTCCATATAATGGTGGCTGGAGGGGGGTGTGTAGGGCGCTTCCGCCCTGCGTTCTTATTCTCTGGGGTCTCTTCTGAACCCCTTCTGGGGCCTCTGGTTTAAAATAGGATTTAAAATAGGGAGGAATGGCCCCCACAGTCTTCAGGGTGGCACTGGGCGTTTCCTTTGGAACCCCTGTAATCTTGGAGTGAGAATTTGGTATTTGCTTAAGAAAAAGAAGGAAGATGCAAATCTAAAGACCAGGAGATCTTGGGGACCTCCGAGTTACAGCCTCAGCAGTAGTTACAACACAAAGCGACACTGTGTGAGTGCTCACTGTGGGTATTTGGATTTCACCTTGCAAGCCCTCCGCACAGGGAGGTACTGAAGTCCTGGTTCCCCAAATTCCAGGGTCAACAGTGGGAGCTAACCTTTGAGGAGCATCTAGCCAGGACTGCTCCTGGCTCTGGCTCAGCTCCACCCCACCCTTCTTTCAGGAAGCCCCTGGGTTTTCTTTCCTGCCACAGCCAAGAGTTTTAAGTGGTCAAGTTATGAAGGTGCTACGTTGTCTCTGAAGGAAGGCCAGGCATGTCGGGTTGTTGGCGCTGAGACCTTCAGCATGTTCTGCTAGTGGGCGGGGCTTACATAAAAGCATCATTTCCACCAAAAGCAGTGGCCCCTCCCACCCCTTCCCCTTATGGAGAGTGAGCCTAGGGGCCTGGGCCTAACACATGCTGGAGGAGCTCTCCACCCCAGCTACTCCCCCAGATTCTGTCTCTGTGTGTGGGGGGTGCTGGGGGCCGGTGTCAAACCTGGGGCCTCCTGCTCGCTAGGCAAGCACTTTAACCCTGAGCCATATCCCCAGCCCCTTAACCTGTTCTTCCCTCACAAGGTCCTTTGGTCAATGCCTGGTAGCTTAGGTGGCCAACTCTGGTGATGGGAGGAGGAGAATGGTTTCCATGCTGCTTGCTAAGAGCTCCGTGGGGAGCTAGTGACCACCCACCTCTGAGGTGGCAATACAGTGCGCTGGAAAGAGCACAGGTGTCTGAAGTTGGGCAGACCTAGTTTGGGTTCCAGGTGCCCCATGTGATCTCAATCTACCTCTTTTTCTGTAAAATGGGATCATCACGACTACTTTTAATGTTGTCTTAATTAGATAAGGTGACACTTGTGATGTATAGTATTTGGCTTTGTCCCTTCACAAATCATGACATTTTATTAAACACACTCACTGTTATGTACAGTGACCAATTTTTCTGTTTTTTTTTTTTTTTTTTGCCCCCCTGGACTGAGGAGATTCCCGGAACTTTTAGTGCTGACCTGAACAGTCTCCAGTGAATAGGATGGTTGGTCATAAGTAGACATGAAATAGGTAAATGACTCCCTGACCTGGTCTAGGGGAATTAGCTGGGAACAAAGAAGAGAAAACAGAGAAGGTTCTTCCCTCCTTGTGAGTGTCTAGAAGTCTTCACCTAAGTGGTGCCATCTGCACTGGGCCTTTTTTTCTTTTTTAGTTGTAGACCAACACAATACCTTTATTTATTTATTTATTTATCTATCTACCTATGTAGTTATTTATGTGGTGCTGAGCTTCGAACCTAGTGCCTCACACGGACTAGGCAAGCGCTTTACCACTGAGCTGCAACCCCAGCCCTGCACTGGGTATTGAAGGAGTTGGCCAAGAAAAGAACCTGCAGTTAAAACAAAAACAAAATGAAAGAAAGAAAAAAAGAAGATATGTCCTCACTTATCAATATACTGTGTAGTGCCATGAAATAATGCAACATGGCCCGCCTTTTGCTTAAAAATGTATTTATTAACACAAGTAAAACCACAAAGACTAATTCAATGAGGAGAAATAAGACTACACCTTTTTTTTTCTGTGAAGTATTACCTGCTTTGGTATTAATAGTTAACATCTTGCCAGAGTTCTTACATTGGTTATTGGAATAAGACAAAAATCAAGATGATAAAAGGCAACAGGGCTATCTGTAAAGCCCTGCACTTAGGTTGGAAGAAATTATTCTGCCCTGACTAATGTATGTGGACTTTAACTCATTCCAAGTTCAATATGAGCAATGACCCTGAAACAATTATTGAAATCCATTAATTAGGCACATAAGTGGAGTTCTGTGACCTTCCTGAGGGCAGGTGTGGAATCTTACTCATATTTAAGTGCCTGGCACATGCTGGGCACTTGACAAATATTTGAGTAGAGATCTGGGAGATATTGCCCCAGTCTCTACCCTGCCCTGGTCAAACTACAGGGAATGGCTGCTTGAGTCCTTTAAGAGGCAAACTGAGAGCCTCGGGGGAGCTTGGGCAGGATGGAGAGAGTCCTGGAAACCTTGGGGGAACTGCTGGAGGAAGCAGGGCTTTCAAAGTCTACTGTCTCTTGGGACGCTGTGGGTGAGTAGATACTAGGTCTCAGAACACTGTTGCCCGTCACTGTAGTCCTGGAAATGCATCCTGGACACTGGCGGTGTTTGCAGGGAGGATGCATGGTCACATGCCAGTGGAAACACGCAGTCTGTTTTTGCATTTCAAGGGCTGGGATCCGTGTGTGTTGTATAACAGTGGCAGGAGGATTAAATAACCAGTTGTGGTGGTCACACTGGTATATACATTTGGCAAAATTCATGGAAATACAGTCTTAAAATAGTGTATGTACATTACTCCACGGTACAGTTGATGCTCTCAATGAATTAATGTGTGTGTATATTTGAGACTGAAAAGGAGACTGATATGGAAATTATATGTAAATATGCCTTGAAGGATATAGTGTGGTGGTAGGTGTTCCTGGAAAGGCTAAGGAATATATTTTACTAAGCAATATTAATTCTTTTGTGTCATGGAGAAACAAGCAATTATAATATTCTCAAAGGACCTCAAAAATTTTGAATCATTTGAAAGCTCCATGAAAATAACAATGAAATACAGGTGTGCCAATTTCTTTTAAAAGTTTTGTTCCATTAGGTGCAGGGTGGGGCACTCAAGGTGCTCCAAGAGTTTGTTTATGGCGGAGATCTGTGGAAAATGCTGTAGTGTATTTTGGACCTCTGGGGGATTGCTTATCAATTAAGCCAGTTGCTTTCAGAGCCAGTTCATTTATTTTGTGAGACCAACTCTGAAGTAGCCTGTTTGACTAGAGAACAATTTGTCAGTCTTCAGGAAAACCGAAGTTGTTTAACTTTCCGGTTACCACCCTGAGCAGGTCAGTCAGAGTTGGAACTGGTCTGTGGTGCTAAGTAGAGAACCAATTCAATAAGGAAGGTGTGTTGGGGCCGCCTGGGGCATGTCACTACCCCCAGTGAGACCTGTCACTGCCCAATTGTGTCCTATCACAAGGTCGGCCACATTTGCTAGGCACTTTCTAAGCACTCAGGTGGAATGATGCACAGGACACAGTTGTAGATAACATTTTCTTCTGTATCCCCCCTATATTTTTTTTCTGTCTTAAATGTACTAAGAAAACAAATATACTCTAAGGTGTGGGGAAACAGGAACTCTGATACCTGGCTGGCAGTGTAAATTGGTACAACCTTTATGGAGGTCCCTGGTGGTATCAGTCAAGTTACAAAGTTGATAGCCTTGACATAGATTTTTTTTTTTTTTTTTTTTTTTGGCACCAGGGATTAAATTCAAGAGCACTAAACCACTGAGCCATATTCCCCTTTTTTGTATTTTATTTGGAGACAGGGTCTCAATGAGTTGTTTAGCACCTTGCTTTTTGCTGAGACTCATGATCCTCCT